GGGGGGGGGGGGGGGGGGGGGGGGGGGCGAGGGGAGGTCGGAATATTAAATTAAGACTTCACATTTTAAGACTATCGTAAACTGCCGCTTATTAGCCTCCGAGCAGGCTTACCCTCGAATCACGCGCACGAGCGGCGAAGAGCGGAACGAACCGGCGGGAAGGAGTCTCGTGAAGAGGCGCCAAGAAAGTGAGCCTGCCCTGATCTCTGTAATTTTTTCATTTCTGCTTCGCCTGAGCGAAGTGAAATACCATTGAACGAAAAGCGGGAAAGGCGAGAAAACGGTCAATCTGTTATGTTTGATGAGGAGCGATTAGATCCCCATGGATCGAGTCGGTAATTTACAGCACGTTCTCACAAAAAGTAAGTGAGTCATCCACATTTGGAGTCAGAGGAAGAGTTGAGTACGCGTATTACTGATTTTTTAACAAATTCCAGTCTATTTCTGGTTAAATTTCAAACTAATGAGGGAGCAGGAAATAGCAGTTGAAAGTATGTTTTAAATGAATCAAGACGTACTTGTCGCGTTACCGACTGCATATGGGAAGAGTTAAATATAACAAACGTTTAGAGAACACCCCTAAGAAAATACGCGCGCTGATTGGTTGAACATCGTGTTTCTATTAAACAATTAAATTACGAGCTTGAGATTTCTATCGTGTGATAGTTGACGAGGGCGCACCAATTAAAAGGTTGAAGACACAAAATGTTCAAATTTTCCCCTTTGTTAATCTGAAATGTTTTTGCAATTATAAATCCTTTTTCTTGAATAATGAATGCCTTCTCTAGTGAGGAACGTTGCCCGGCTTTTTGAAATCAGGCCGATTAGGACACAAATTTGCCGCTGTTTCAAGGTGCACGACCTGATCACGTGCGAGTCGAAACTTCAAGTTGTTGTTTGCCTAGGGTGTTAGTGAGCTTTGTTCGACCTAGGGAGTTAGTGAGTTTTGATCAATGACACGTGACACGTTCTCCTCGGAAAACGTATTTGAGTTGGGAGGTATAACAATAATGATGGTTATAATACGGTCCATAACGTTAACAAATACCTAAGAAACAATTACGTTTCCACATTGTCATTCTTTTACCTTCATCTGGCTAAAAAAATTGAACTTCAAATCTTCCTGGCCTTTTAAAACAAAACAAAATCACCCTTGGGACGGCAAGACGCTGGCCGCGGCCGCTTGATAGAGGTGGCCGTTGAATAGAGGTTTTTATTACAGTGTATAGCTGACAATTTTTCGTTTAATAGGGGGCCGTTTAATAGAGGTTCGACATAAGATGTTTTATAGCTTGATTGAAAACCATTATATGAAACATTTATTTAGATCAACACTGCTGCAGCTCATTTCGCAACGTTTGTTTTTATGCCGCTTATAAGGCTCCCCCGGATATAAGTCCATTCAAAGCCCCTTACAAAGTGGTATAAGTCCAGAGCTTAAAAGCGGCAGTTCACGATATGTTTCATTGGGTGATACTTTGCCACGAGTCCCGAGAACTTTCGGCCAGGACTAGGATTGTAATCACGTTGCAATGCTTATTCAACAGTTGGTGATAAAATTATACGGACCCTTTTAGCTTCTATAATTGATAGATCCGAAAACTAGAGTTCATGAAAAAAATTCAGAATGAGAAATCATTCATGAAGCTGGGGCGTGTAACAATCATGAAAGAATGGACACTTGACGATGTATATACAATTTATATACCTTTGACTTCTAATGCAAAATACCACACTCATGCATGCTATTATTTAATTTTTAGTATACTCATCATGATGTGTCAACTATACTTTTGGCTCCTGAGTAAATTCGTTGATTTTCTACAAAAATTACTTCATCAGGCAAGAAAAAAATTCCTGTTTTTCCCCTTATTCGTTCATTTTGAGGTGACTTGGTCGAGGTACAATGCTCTGTTTAAGACTCTTGTTCCACTGAAAGCACTGCTTCATCTTTTACTTAGCTTCTGTTTCTTGGTTGTCTCTCTTTTCCTAAACGAAAATAAAAACGCGAAATTAGCTATGGTAAACTTAAAGTCTGCATGAATTCCTTGAAAGAGTGAGTTCAGTATTAGCAATCGAGATTGGATGCCCTTCCTATTTAAGCTTATTTACTTCAAAACGTTTAATGCCCGCGACATCATTTCGTTCGTTTTACTGAGTCATGATACTTCTTTGTCGTTACGAATAACCGGGAATATCAAAAAAGAATTGTGTCGGCAGTGGTCGATGCAGGTATCTGTTAGCCCAATATTTGACAGACCTAATTGTAGCTCTGTCATACAGGAGTGGAGAAAGGGAACGCTCCATCACAAGGACTCAGAGGTCTTAGTTTTATCTATAGGACGTGAGCTGCGAGGCTCCTTAGCATGGTCACGTATCTGTAAATTACTTTTGTTTGAGCTGACAAAGACGTGCGGGCTCTACATCATACCTGCTACATCGTGCGTTATGTTTTGATGTCATGGTTGCCACAAATTACTCGGCATTAATCTCCTGCAAAGTCTGTGACTGTCATTATGAACTACACTGATACTACGATTATCAGTTGAGTAAGGCGGGACAAAAGTTTGGTCACCAAGTTTTAACGTAAAAATCTTGTTGTTGTCACGAGCAACTGGCTCCGTATCCATTAGTAACTTGTCGGCCTTTGACGTCATTGGCAGCAAAGCGCGCGAAATTGTAGGCGACGCGACAAGCGACCAACGACCGTTGATATTGCTACCAATGGAAACGAGGTAAGTTGCCCGTGACAACACTATAATTTTAAGGCGAAAACTTCGTAACCAAACTTCCCTCGTGCCTTACTCAACTGATAATCGTAGTATTTGTGATATTTGAAGAAATGCCTTAATTTTGACCTCAAAATGAAATATCCTAGTCATCTTGAAAACGGGTTTTCCGACTCGTTAACAAAGGCAAACAAACAGTCAGT